TAAAAAGGGCACACCATACCACATCTAAATAAGCAATTAGGAAATTGTAATAGTGAAAGGGTGATACGAGAACATAGTATTGGTTTGTATCTAGTAATGTTTTGAAGGAGGCTTTCTTTAACCAAATCATGAGATACTTTTATAAGATCCCTCTTAATTCTATCTGGCAAATTGTGTCTATTTAGAATACAAAACTTAGGGATAATACTATGCGAAAAACATACTTTAAAAAAACAAATGTAGGATCTCAGGTTTAGTGTTTTTAGTGATTTTTTCGTGAATATTGGTTTCTGGCTCTGACGATGTCTGTCATATGACGGACGAAAGTTGAGAAAGTCATCGGAGTCGTATGACGGTGAGCCAAGGTTTTCTTCGCACAGTTCAATAGACAAAATTTCTAAGGCAATCCTACTGCGGTATCCGGTGAATCCCTTCGACCTGCCTTCTCAAACGAAATGAAAATTACACCAGTATCAATCAAGCCTTTCAATTTTTTTGAAATCCCGTCACAATCATCTAATTATCTGGTGGCGAACAGGTAATAAAAGTCAGAGTCGTGTATACAATAATATGACTGATTTCACTCAATTCTACCATGTGTACAAGGATTCATAGATAAAAATGGCTTGTATACTTGTGTCATGAACGAGTCCCCTCATCCTGAAACTTTTACTCACTAACTGGATTTTTACTAGTGATTTTCATGAATAGCTGATTAAGAGTCCCAAAATGCATCCGTTCGTCTTGATGTTTTTCTTTTTAGGATTTAGCGAAGGAAGATCAGCAAAAAATGTACTTCGATTTGAGTAAAGAAAGAAACGATTTATATCCAGACCCGGAAATTCTAATACATTTTATGGAAGCTCATCCTACACCTTTTGCGTGAAATGAATTGTGTAATCAGACTTATAATGAGATTATGGATACAGTGTAAAATAGCAATAAGGTTTACCTCCAAAGCAGCTAAAATGCGTATCAAATTGGCCAGACCAGGGCGACCCACCGGATCGTAACTAACACCTGGCTGAGAGTCGGTCAGAGCTCGGCTCACCTTCCGGCTTAGCTGGTCGGGATCATCTGTGAGCCAAATGGTGCCGGCGTCATCGGCGCCTCCATAGGACTTGCTCATCTTCTTTTCGGGGTGACGGAGACTGTGTATCTGATGAGTTCGTATGTGCATCAGAGTAGATAGATTTCATGAGAGTATAAGCATAGGGTTGAGAACAATGTACACAATCCTGGGTAAACTATATAAAAATAGTAGTTGCTTAACCTTGTTTTCACAACTTGGTCATATTGACAGGAAGACCTAGAGGAACGCACCTAGTTCGGAGTCCATAGAATGCATGATAATTTCCAAAGTCAGACCATGGACTGACGTTTCGCCGGTATCGCCAGTGAGCCTTGCCATTCTTAGCACCACACTACAAGTCGTCAAAAAGACAAATGAAGTTGATTTATTGACCAATGTCTACATTTGTTGTATCTCTCCTTGCCTGGGCTTTTCGCTTATCCTATATACTCGTATCACCCTTAAAATATCACCATTTCTTATATGTTTGTCCAAACCTTGTTAAGGTGTACCCTTTTGGGGGATTCGCGCTCCCCACTAGTTCCTTCATCCCCCCAGTGAGCTGGGGGTGTTGATCCAGTATGGGTAAGACCCTTCCCTTATTTGCCTGGTTCACTGGTTTCACTCCATCACTGCCACAATAGCCGTAGTACTCGAGGCGTTATGTTCTACACTCTGTCTCAAGTCTTTGATAGTAGTTATGAGCCAGCCTCAATGAGCAAGCCCAAAAAGTCTTAATTCTCAATTGGGATGGCAACCTAACTTGACGCTGAAGATACCCTTATCACTGTGCCGCATGTGCACCGAAAAAATCTCGTGGTCAAGCCTTTACTTCATGGACCCCGTCTATGAGCAAACTTATCTATTAATAGCCAACT